AATAAAGCCTAAACCCATCAGAAGAAGAGAAATAATAAAGATCAGAGCAGAAATCAATGAAATAGAAACCAAAAGAACAGTAGAACAGATAAATGAAACTGGGAGCTGGTTCTTTGAAAGAATGAATAAGATTGATAAACCCCTGGCCAGACTTATCAAAAAGAAAAGAGAAATGACCCAAATAAATAAAATCATGAATGAAAGAGGAGAGATCACAACCAACACCAAAGAAATACAATTATAAGAACATATTATGAGCAACTCTATGCCAGCAAATTAGATAATCTGGAAGAAATGGATGCATTCCTAGAGATGTATCAACTACCAAAACTGAACCAGGAAGAAGCAGAAAACCTGAGCAGATGTATTACCACTAAGGAAATTGAAGCAGTCATCAAAAATCTCCCAACAAACAAAAGTCCAGGGCCAGATGGCTTCCCAGGGGAATGCTACCAAACATTTCTAGAAGAATTAATACCTATTCTTCTGAAATTGTTCCAAAAAATAGAAATGGGAGGAAAACTTCCAAACCCGTTTTATGAGGCCTCATTACCTTGATCCCCAAACCAGACAAAGACCCCATCAAAAAGGAGAATTACAGACCAATATCCTTGATGAACATGGATGCCAAAATTCTCACCAAAACACTAGCCAATAGGATCCAACAGTACATTAAAAGGATTATTCACCACGACCAAGTGGGATTTAGCCCTGGCTGCAAGGCTGGTTCAACATCCTCAAATCAATCAATGTGATACAATACATTAATAAAAGAAAGAACAAGAACCATATAATCCTCTCAATAGATGCAGAAAAAGCATTTGACAAAGTACAGCATCCTTTCTTGATCAAAACTCTTCAGAGTATAGGGATAGAGGGTATATACCTCAATTTCATAAAAGCCATCTATGAAAAACCCACAGCAAATATCATATTCAGTGGGGAAAAACTGAGAGCTTTCCCCCTAAGGTCAGGAACAGGGCAAGGATGTCCACTCTCACCACTGCTATTCAACATAGTATTAGAAGTCCTAGCCACAGCAGTCAGACAACAAAAAGAAATAAAAGGCATCCAAATTAGCAAAGAAGAAGTAAAACTCTCACTCTTTGCAGATGATATGATACTTTATGTGGAAAACCCAAAAGACGCCACCCCAAAACTGCTAGAACTCATACAGGAATTCAGTGAAGTGGCAGGATATAAGATCAATGCACAAAAATCAGTAGCATTCCTATACACCACCACCAAGACAGAAGAAAGAGAAATTAAGGAGTCGATCCCATTTACAATTGCACCTAAAACAATAAGATACTTAGGAATAAATCTAACCAAAGAGACAAAGAATCTGTACTCAGAAAACTATAAAATACGCATGAAAGAAATTGAGGAAGACACAAAGAAATGGAAAAACGTTCCATGGTCATGGATTGGAAGAACAAATATTGTGAAGATGTCAATGCTACTTAGAGCAATCTAAACATTCAAAGCAATCCCTATGAAAATACCATCCACTTTTTTCAAAGAAATGGAACAAATAATCCTAAAATTTGTATGGAACCAGAAAAGACCCTGAATAGCCAGAGTAATATTGAAAAAGAAAAGCAAAGCTGTTGGCATCCCAATTCCGGACTTCAAGCTCTATTACAAAGCTGTAATCATCTAGACAGTAGGGTACTGGCACAAAAACAAACGCATAGATCAGTGGAACAGAGTAGAGAGCCCAGAAATGGACCCTCAACTTTATGGTCAACTAATCTTTGACAAAGCAGGAAGGAATGTCCAATGGAAAAAAGACAGTCTCTTCAACAAATGGTGTTGGGAAAATTGGGCAGCCACATGCAGAGGAATGAAACTGGACCATTTCCTTACACCACACACAGAAATAGACTCAACATGGTTGAAAGACCTAAATGTGAGACAGGAGTCCATCAAAATCCTAAAGGAGAGCGCAGGCAGCAACCTCTTCGACCTCAGCCGCAGCAGCTTCTTCCTAGAGACATTGCCAAAGGCAAGGGAAGCCAGGGCAAAAATGAACTATTGGGACTTCATCAAGATAAAAAGCTTTTGCACAGCAAAAGAAACAGTCAATAAAACCAAAAGACAACCAAGAGAATGGGAGAAGATATTTACAAATGCCATATCAGATAAAGGGCTAGTATCCAAAATCTATAAAGAACTTATCAAACTCTACACCCAAAGACAGATGATCCAATCAAGAAATGGGCAGCAGAGATGAACAGACATTTTTCCAAAGAAGACATCCAAATGTCCAATAGACACATGAAAAAGTGCTCAACATCGCTCGACATCGGGGAAATCCAAATCAAAACCTCAATGAGATATCACCTCACGCCAGTCAGAATGGCTAAAATTAACAAGTCAGGAAAGGACAGATGTTGGCTGGGATGCGGAGAAAGGGGAACCCTCCTACACTGTTGGTGGGAATGCCAGCTGGTGCAGCCACTCTGGAAAACAGTATGGAGCTTCTTCAAAAAGTTGAAAATAGAGCTACCATACGATCTAGGAATTTTACTACTGGGTATTTACCCCAAAGATACAAATGTAGGGATCCGAAGGGGTACGTGCACCCCTATGTTTATAGCAGCAATGTCCACAATAGTCAAACTTTGGAAAGAGCCAAGATGTCCTTTGACAGATAAAATGGATATTATGCAGCCATCAAAAGGAATGAAATCTTGCCATTTGCAACTACATGGATGGAACTAGATGGTATTATGCTGAGCGAAATAAGTCAGTCAGAGAAAGACATGTATCATATAATCTCACTGATATGAGGAATTCTTAATCTCAGGAAACAAACTGAGGGTTGTTGGAGTGGTTTGGTGTGGGAGGGATGGGGTGGCTGGGTGATAGACATTGGGGTGGGTATGTGCTATGGTGAGTGATGTGATTTGTGTAAGACCGATGAATCACAGACCTGTACCTCTGAAACAAATAATACATTATATGTTAAAAAAATAAAAAGAAGATAGTAGGAAGGGAAAAATGAAGTGGGGGGGAAATCAGAGGGGCAGATGAACCATGAGAGACTATGGACTCTGAGAAACAAACTGTGTTTTCTAGAGGTGAGGGGGGTGGGGGGATGGGTTAGCCAGGTGATGGGTATTGTAGAGGGCATGTACTGAATGGAGCACTGGGTGTTATATGCAAACAATGAATCATGTAACACTACATCAAAAACTAATGATGTATGGTGATTAACATAACATAATAAAAAAAATAAAAGCAGATAACTCACTAGGACCTTACAAAATGTTTCTGCTGCGGGCGCCTGGGTGGCTCAGTTGGTTAAGCGACTGCCTTCAGCTCAGGTCATGATCCTGGAGTCCCGGGATCAAGTCCCGCATCAGGCTCCCTGCTCAGCAGGGAGTCTGCTTCTCCCTCTGACCCTCCCCCTTCTCATGTGCTCTCTCTCCGTCTTTCATTCTTGCTCTCTCAAATAAATAAATAAATAAAAATTAAAACAACAACAACAAAAAAAATGTTTCTGCTGCTTGTTTATACCACACACACACACACACACACACACACACACACACACACACACACACAGGAGAGATACTGATCCTCAGGGTTCTAGAGAGAAATATCCATGGCACTCCTGTGATAAGGACAAAGGATTAATTCAACCATTGCCATGGGAATTCCATAACCCTGATGGTATTGATTTGATTTGGGGTTCTCTAGAAGAAGAAACTTATAAATATGAGCAGGGCAGAGAAGAACCTCACTGAAGTATGTCCAGTAACCTCACACACACACACACACACACACACACACACACACACGTGCACATAACCTGGAAAAGTTCCCTGGTAGAGCCAAGTGTTGGAGGGAAGTGTGATAATTCATGTCTCTATTGAGACTTAAATATGGGTACATTACCTCAAAGGAGTTTTAGGTAAGTCCAAAATATGAGGAAATGTATATGTGGTATATTATATATATTATTCAGCCATGAGAAAGGAGGAAGTCCTGCCTTTTGTGACAACATGGATAAATCTTGATGGGGTATTATGCTAAGTGAAATAAACCAGACAGAGGACAAATAGGCATGGTACCACTTATATGTGGGATCTAAAAAAAAAAAAAAAAAAAAAAAAGTCAAACTCATAGAAACAAAGAGTAGAAAAGATTGCCAGGGGCTGAGGAGTGAAGGAAATAGGGAAAGTTTGGGAAAAAGGTACAAACTTTCAGTTATAAGATTAATAATGTTTGAGGACTAATGTAAAAAACAAAATCAAAAAACAAAATATACCCTAAGCTGTCAAGATCCTCAAAAACAAGTAGTCTAAAAACTGTCACAGCTAAGAGGAGCCTAAAAAGGCATGACATGTTAGCTAAATTTAATATGGTATCCTAGATGACAGAAAAAGGACATTGGGTAAAAACTAGGGAATCTGAATAAGGTACAGACTTCAGTGCTGTTGGTTAAGTTTAACAAATGTATCATACTAACATAAGACATTAATAAATAAGGGAAATTGGGCATGGGATATATGGATATTATTTTCAAAATTTTTCTGTACATCTAAAACTGTTGTAAAATTAAAAATTTATTAAGAAAATACGAAATACTAGGTAGTGATGAGCGCTGGGAGATGACAGAATGAACCACTGAGTGGGAGTGGCCATGGGGAATGGGTTGGAAAAATCACCTTCTCCCTGCCATGTGTACCACAGGAATTGAACCAGAGGAGATGAGAATGAATAACAGATCAGTTTGAGAGGGCTCTTTAAGGGGTGTTGAGAAAGCTCCCCCTTTCTCTAACCAGAGCATCTGAACTCCTCTGCTTGCATCCCCTCCTCCCATGGTTTTTCACGCGTGGTGCTTTGTGATGGCAAGCCATTCCAGGGCTACCATTGGCTGGAAGAATTTCCTACTGACCAATCAGAGTTAAAGGGTGTGGCTCCTCATTGTCCTGGCAGGCTATATATAGAGGGGTCAGGAGCCCGGAGTGAGTCACTGTTGCTACAACATGGCAGAGATTAATGAGGAAGAGACCGGGTCTGACTCAGATATAGGTACACGTACAGGTACCCCAAACATGAAACAATTTCTAGCTGTCACCGAGAGCAACAAGACCCTTTATCGACTCAAGGGCAAAGAAAGTGAGAAGGTCAGAATACCCTACTTATGCACCTCCTCCTCTTCTTGGAGGTGGCCACCTGAGACCCCTATGCTGCCCTTATCTGGCACAAAACCCCTCCTTAGTCTGTACCCATTCTTTTAAAGTCCCCCTTCCCATCTATTTCCATCCTCTTCCCCCAAACCAGTGTCTTTCTGGACTCACTTTGTTTTCTTACCAGGTGCAGAAGATACTCAGGAAGGTTAAATTAGCCCTTCAACAGAGTGAGGAAAAGCGTAAGAAGGGGAAAAAGTCAAGAATACTAATCTGTTACCACAGGCAGAATAAAAAAAAGAATGAAAATCAGCCAAAGAGGGATCAAGAAAGCATGTCTCCCACCCCAGGCAATGCCCCAAGCCCACCAGGGGCCACGGACTTGAAGTAGCTGTTACCTCTCCAGAAAAAGGTTGGAGAGATGGCTGCTCATGCAGAGATCAAAACGTATGTGAATGATCATCTGTGTGGAGACCAAATAAAGGACATGGGTGTTGATGTATTAAACACTGACAAATTGCAAAAAGGAGATATGTGTGTCTCTCTGTTCTTTGATGATGAGAAGGGAAAGAAAGGGGCAAGTGTATGAGAAGGGAGGGAGGTGGAATCCTGCAAGTTTGGGGCCCAGACCAGCCACTCCATAGTTAGCTGGACATTGGGAATAAGGACTAGATGAGGACTAGGGACTGAAGATAAATTTCCTAACACTTTAACCCACTGGAGAGTGAGAAAAGAACTTGGTGTTTCTGTGTGTTTGGGGGGGCCTAGATAGGGAGAGGGGTGGTGTATGGGTGGGGTAGCAGTGTGTTAAAATGAATCTAATCCCATATTTTATTAATTATTTTTTAATTTATTATTTATTATTGAGAGAAGAATGTGAGTGGGGCAGGGGAGGGGCAGAGGGAGATGGGGGAGGTAAACTTAAGCAGAGTCCACGCTGATCGCCGAGCCTGACACGGGGCTTGATCCCATGACCCTGAGATCATGACCTGAGCCAAAACCAGGAGTCAGAAGCTTAACCAACTAAGCCACCCAGGCATCCCTCCCTGATCCCATTTTTGATGTTTGACTATTGACAGCTTTTAAGCCTCATTCCTTCTTTCCCTTCTGGCCCACATCTGGGCAAGCTGATAAAAACAACCAGGGATTTAACTGAACATAAAATAGAAACAAATAGATATGTGCAACCTTAACCATCAGAACTATTGCTTTGCCCAAATTCTCCATTGCCAAAGCATTCATTGCCCTGAAACATTCTCTAGTGCACATGGACAGTCTGACCCAAAGAGTAATAAAATTAAGTCTCTGGTACTTATCAATTTGAAAAAATATGACCCTATGGACCTTCTTCCCTAGTTAAAATAATACCTTCTACCCCAGATTTTTTTAAAAGGTTCAATCTAAATGAAAACAGGGACTTCAAAGATTGAAACCCATTATATAAGACCCATTTAGAGAAGTTGTGATTATCCCCACTGCTTATTCATTTAACAGTCAAGTTTGACTTTGTTATTAAACCTGGAAAATATGAATGGTGCCCCAGTGTGAATTTTAATGCCCTTAATGTCATGGTCCCAACCATTAGAACTCCATATCTAATATTATTAAAATTACTGATTCCATCCAATAAGTACCTGATAAATACTTTGCAGTCACAGCAATGTATTTGGCTAACATGTTCTATTCAGTGCCTATTTCAGCAGTCTCTCAGCTATAGTTAACCTTCACCTTTAAAGCGTCACAATATACCTTTACCTGGGTACTCGGTGGGGTAGCTCTCCCATTCCTGTCATCTCACATAATCTTTGCAGGGAATATCTTAACCACATCTAGCTTTTTCCAGATGTACAGGTATGACATCACACTGATGACATCCTTTGAGGAGACTCATATGGCATGCTTATTCAGGACATAAAAACATTTATAAAGGAACTAACAAAAGAGGAGGACCCATTACTCCCACACGTAGTACAAGGCCCTACCACCTCAGTTAAGTTCTTGAAAATTATGTGGTAAGCTAAGGGCTGCTCCAGTTCTGACAGTGTGAATAAACAGCTTTTAGCCTTCTTGGTACGCACATTGTTAAAACAAGCCTAAAATCTTTTAGACATTTTTTTTATTCTGGAGGCAACATTACTCATAATACAAATTTTATTTAAGTCCATTTGTTTTGTTACTTGCAAATAGGCCCACCTCGAATGAGATGCCCTGCACAAAAGGTTCTAGAACCTGTCTAAATTGATTTGGAATAAGGCACTCCTGTTAGGCCCCGCAGAGACTCCTTTATTGTAGAGGCTTTAGCGACCTTCTGTCATACCTCTTAGAGTCCCTAGAACATCCATGATGTCAATTAGTTGCCATGCACTTCTGATACAAGGAACTGCCCTCCTTGGCCCAATGCTATATGCCATTAGTATGGCATATACTAGACTTTCCTAGAAATACAGGCTTTTTCAGGTCCTGAATCTGTGACTCTCCATATCCAGCTGCCCATTATGACATAGATCATGAAAGCAGCACTCTGCAAGCTCAGCGTGGCTAGTAAGGCCTCCTTGCTACAGGATAGAACCAAAACTGGGCTTTCCGCATAACCCACCTACAGGAGAGGGTACCTTCCCTGTGCTCAATCCTTTACCAGATGCCATAGTGCTAGAAGAGGTCACCTGTATCTTAGAACCTTTGAATACCTGGGGAGCCCCTTAGGATCAACAGAGTGAATGCCACAGGGAGTTCATTCAGTTAACCAATGATATTATCACTGTCACACTTAATGGAGCTTTCTTCAGAGCTGCTTCTTTTCATCCCTTAATCAGGATGTTTCTGATGTAGGACAGGACCCAAGGGTTAGCTCAATTGGCCAAACTTTAGGCAATCAACTTAACACTGGATGTCTTGGCCAACAATTTGCCTCATCTGCACATTTCTACGGATCTTTGGGCCACTGCCAATGGTCTCACCATCTGGTCTGGCCAATGCAAACAATTCCTTACCCAAGCTTGACTCATGTGGGGTAAAGAACTCTTGGAATCTCTTGCCTCACAGATACCTAAAATACAAATTAAGGTCACATATTTCTCTACACATATTAAAGACACAATACAAGATCTCATCATGGCACTGCTTACCATCTTTGGAGTTCCACACATTGATAGTGACCAAGGCATTCATTTCAGTTTTCAGAATACACAATGCTGGGCTCTTGAACAAAATATTCAATGGAACATTTACCTCTCCTACTGGTCTCAGGCTGCAGGTGCCATAATAGCTTACATAAATAAGTCTAAATTAAGTTAAATATACCATGAAATATTTTCATTATCAAACATGAGGGATGAATTGGAATAGAGTGTGACTCATAGACAAATATTGTATATGTTTAAGGTGTACACTTTAATGTTTTGATATATAAGTGAGATAATCACAACCATCTAATTATTCATCATGTAGTTACTATTTTTTTTGTTTGACTCTATTTTTGATGTATAACTCATTATGTGAGTAATAATCCTTTTTGTACCCTCTTGGTCTATGAGTGCCATCACTAGTCTTGAAATTCAAACCAAATTTTGATTGGAGGATATACATCCTACTTCTGTAAGGTGACAACAAGCTCACATACTCCACAGAAAATTAATGCTATAAATGGAGACAGAGAAAGAGAGAGATTAAGCATGTGGGTATGGCACTTTAAGGATACCAATATTTCAGGAAACAAATATGTCTTGAGTGTGTAGTATGTACCACACACTGTTCTAGGTCCTGGGCTTACAGTGAAGAACATAAGGTCCATAGTTCCTGCTGCCAAGTAATTACATTTATATGGATGAAGAAGTAGTTAAGAGTGTTGGTGTGGGGCAGAGGACAGCTGCTTCAGCCAACGGTTGTGGGGAAATCTCTGAGGAGCTGATATTTGAATTGAGACCTGAATAATGAGATAGAGTGAGCTGTGTGAAGACTTCAAAGAAGAGCATTTTTGGTAGAAAGGACAGCAAGTAGCAATGCCATGAGGTAAGAACAAAAACAATGTGTTGAAGAATAGCAAAGAGGTGGGTGTGACTGGAGTACAGAGACAGGGGCAGAGTGAAGGTGGTGACTGAAACCAGAGAGTCTGGCAGAGAGGAGGCTGTACAGGGAACAGGGACTTGCAGGGTGAGAACTTGCAGTTTATTTTATGTGCGGTAGAGAGCTCCTGGACAGTTTGATACAGGCAAGTGATGCAGTCTGAGTTATGTTTAGGAAGTTCACTGGATGTTGTGGCCTGTGTAGCACCAGAGAGGTACCGGCCTGTTGCAACAGTACGGGGGTGAGATGATGATGGCTGGGACTAGGGTTGTGGCGGCGGGGGGTGGGGGGGATGCAACATGGTGTTGAGCAGAGCAATTTGGAGCATATGATTTGAAGTCCAACCTCCATTTACAGCTTCACCACCTAGAAGCTATTTGACCTCAGATAAGTTTCTTAACCTCTCTAAGATTTAGTTTCCTTACCTGTGAAATGGAAATGATATGTGTTTATGTCTTAGAGTCATTCTGGGATTGAATGAGGTAATTTATGTGAAACACCTGACACTATTAAACCCATAATCAGCATTTGATAAAATGGCTTCTGTTATTATCATCAATAATATAAATGAATAAATAAGTGTTCCTTCTTGCTTCTCTCCCCCACACCATTCCCCAAGAGCTAATGTGTCTTGTGTGAGCTGCTGTTAACCTACGACTACTGACCCCTGTTTGATTTTCTTGAAGACTCAAGTATTTTGGGGCACCTTCCCGCAACAGTGAGGCATTCTGGTACCTTTAGATACTTCACAGTAAATATCTATATATGGCTTGTGATTAATTTATACAATGAAGTGGCAGTAATGGCTGATTTCTTTTTTTTTTTTAAGATTGATTTATTTATTTTGAGAGAGTGAGAATGAGAGAGAGAGAGAGAGTACATGAGAGGGGGAGGGTTGGAGGGAGAAGCAGGCTCCTCGCCGAGCAGGGAGCCCGATGCGGGACTCGATCCCGGGACTCCAGGATCATGACCTGAGCCGAAGGCAGTTGCTTAACCAACTGAGCCACCCAGGTGCCCAGTAATGGCTGATTTCTAACATTCCCTCTTTCTACCTCTACCTAAAGAATCATTACTTAAATATCTATCCTCTTCTCTCCAACCTCCTTCCATAAGGTCCTAAATGAACAGCAACCCATATTTCTTTCCTAACTACAAACATAACCTGCTGAGCTTAGTCAGGTTGCTTTGAAAATTGCTTCTTTCCATTAAATGCAGCTTTGAGTTTTTCTTCCTTCAGAAAAATCTATTTGCATTTTTCGAAGAAGGTTCTCATTTTATTACTTGCTGATCAGAACTCTTCCAAACTCCCTTGTTCCCTTGATGCTTTTTTTTTTTTTCCTCTTTTTGGTCTCTGGTATTTCCCCATTTTTGTGCATTATCATCATTTAAGACTAAAATTCTTAAGCTGTTTACTGCTTCCTCCACATCCTTGATAAAAATGAAATAGGACAAGATGTTTCCTTCTTTGA